GAGTGAGAAATTTCAGCTTTGATATGATGATTTGGACTTGGCTATGATTTAGTAGCTTTGCCATGTGAATTTTATAACTTTTATATGTTATTTTGGCTTGATTATAAAAAATTTCAGCTTAGGGTTACAAATTTCCAGCTTTATTGTATTTGATTTTGAGCTAGATAATTGGCTAATTTGGATGGTTTTGTGGCCTTAAACAAGTGTACTTTATAGCCTATAACTTGTGATTGTGATTGAAGTTGAATTGCTATGAATATAAGTGTTGAGTTTGGATGGAAAAGTTAAGAAAATAAGGGGAAGTGCTGCTAAAATTTTTGTTACTTTCTTTCTTGTGTTATAAGTGATGTTAGAAGGGTGATTTTGGGTTGGTGTGGACTTAGGTTACTTGCATTTGCTTGATTCCACCTTGGTAGTGACATATGAGCTGAAATTTTAGCAAAAATTATGTGTAAAGTAAGAGGAAAAGCAATGGTTCCTTCTATCATGCTCTCTAGTTTCGTTTGCCCAACTTTAGACTCGAGATTGGTTGTCTTCTTCTAAAAGTCGTGCGTATATCTTACGTATGTTTTGCTAAGCTTCATAAGTTATAAATATCCAATTTTTCTCTTTTGGTTTCTTACATCTTGTGAGTCTAAGTGCTTTTCATTTTACACTAATAACTCACTTGAACCAAAGCCCTAGAATGCACTTGGATATTCTTTGATTGGGTTTCAAATTTATCTTTGAACTTTGTGTTTTGAGAGGCCAAACTTAGATAGGTGTATAGCTCATAATTAAGTCTCAAGTGAGCACTTCATTAACCTAAGTTTTGAATGGTCGAACTATGACACCTTGTCTTGGTTACTTTTAGGGTTTGACAGGGGAAACGAGCACAATCCGGGATCGAACTTTTAGCATTGCTCTACTTTAAAAAAACGTGAGTGTTCCTTGCATATTGTGTTCCAAATGAATATGTGGAATATTGTGAATGTTTGCTTGAATGTTAAACGCTTTTCAATGATTGTTAAATGGCAAATGTGTACTTTATTGCACTCGACCTAAACGAATGTGAATTTTCAATGATCTAATGATTGAATGTTACTTGTGCATGAATGTAAGCCTTTGGCTGAACTGGGCCCTTGCCCTTCGTTGCCAATTGACTCGAGCCAGAAGCGGACTCGGTCGGACGGCTGGTAACCCTAGGACAGTGTTTTGGTATACTCGAGTATGACCACGAAATCTGGTGGAGAATTGGCCAGTGAATGCAATGCAATGAATGAAATGATCACTGAAGGAGTTTTTATTTTCAAAGGTATTTTCATATCTCGGAGGTATAAGGGAGAAATGGTCGGAGAGTGATGATTGAATGAATGAATGGCTCCAAGTGAGCACGTATCCTTCCAATGAATGAATGTTTGCTTCTTGAATGACTGCTTATTACTGTGCAAAGTGTGTAAATTGTTAAATGTGATACTCCCATGTTTCATCTACCTGATTGCTTGCTTCGGAGCCTCACTGGGCTTTTAACTCATTTCTTTAGTTTTGTTTTCCTTACAGGAGTGAAGGCCAGAGCAAGTAAGCATGAACTAGTGTATATAATCTTCATGTATGTGTACTTTTGTAGATGAAATATACTTTGGAGATTTGGTAATGAAATCTTATGTTACACTTTTGGGTTGTAAATTAAGTTGAAATCCTTGGATGAATGGAACTTCTATGCTTATCTAGAGGCGTGAAAGACTATTTCAAGAATATAAGTGAGTGAGTCCTGGAGAAAGTTGGGCAGACTGTCCACCAAACCCTTGGGTTTGCCCTAGAGGGAGGTGGAGTCGTCACAGACTATAATGTAGATTTTTTGTTAGGATTTCATAGCAGATAATGAAGAAACAGGTAAATTTATTTTATTTCATAGTTGGCTGTGATGATATGATATTGATGTCGTGAGTTGTGTTTTAAGGCTTGATACTAATTGGATTAAGCAGTGCCTTGGTGAGGCAACTCAGATGGCATTTTGATGTATATTATTCTAGAGCTGCAACTAAGTTTGCCGCCATGGTGGTACTGTTCTTCTCTGCCTGACTTTGATAAAATAAATCTAAGCCTTATCTTTAATTGTCAAAGTTTGTTGGTTTCTTTTTATTAGTCTTACAGTAGCTAAGTATGTCCTTCTAAACTTTTCGTACAAATTTATGCTCAAGTTGATGCTTATTTTCTTCCAAAAATTGTTATCTTATGTTTTTGTATCATACAGACACTTAAACGCTCCTTCCCCTCTCAGTCTGTACTCTTGACTGGACTATAATAGATTGAGTTGTTTGTCTCCATTTTGTCAGTTTCTTTTCCCTTTATTTCTTGATATTGGTTTAATTCTTTGCATTTTTTTCTGGCTGCTTTCATCTACTGCAATTTGTAATTTATGCTATAAGATGCCTTTTCGTTAATGGTTCTTTATGTTTTATAATATTTTATTTTCACTCAATATCTTGATTATAGCCCTATCATCTTATTATTTTGATAGTGTTTCATGTTGTAGAATATTAGGTTCATTGTGATACCCAGTTTAACATGAGTTTATTTGCGATTTTTTTACTGTCTTTGTAACTTTTTAAATTGTGAAATTTCTTATCTGGTCATCTTTGGGGTTTAGCTTTACTTTATTCATTTCTTGGCTACCTATTCACTTTACTAATATGTTATTGGGTTTTGTGCAAATTTATTCCTCAAGAATTTTGACTTTCATTTCATGTAATCTAATTTTAAAAGCATTCCTTTTCTTCAACTAATGCAGTTCTTTTTTCCCTTTAGTCATCTAATGACCATCTCATTGTCACATGAAAGATGGATAAGTTCTTTGCTCAATCCTATGACTTTGTGGTTGATTATATTCTGGGTTGTTTCCAGCATTGGTATTTATTTGTGTTATTTTGCTGAATTTGTTCTTTTCACGGTATAGCCAGGTAATCCACTTGTATATTTGATTTGAAATTATACATAAACTATTGAAATTTTTGGCTGGTAATTCAAGTGATTAAGTAGTTTAGTTGTAACATTTTAGATTTGCAGAAGATTTATCTTTTCATGTTTTGTGCACAATTTGTTCTTTCCATGTTTAAACTAATGCTGACAGATTATTGTAGATTGGTGAACCTTTTGGCATGGCAATTAAAGTTATAACGTTGTTTCAAAATTATAAAATTTTCACTTAGATGCCTAAATTTGCAACTTTACATGGTCTCCCCTGTTAATGTTACCAAAGCAATGTGGTTGGGGGATGATAGAATTGAACTCATGTATGGTCCAATCTGTTCATTGTATTAAAGTTTTATGCTTCTCCTTTAGAGTGCCTATGCGTGTTGATACCACCACTAATCTAAATATGTGATAGTGCTACTAATTAAGGGAAGCCTATTGTTTGTATATTGAGTTGAATCCAGGTAGTTTCCATCTAGAAAAAAAAATTTGATGGTTGATTATGTAAATTTGAATTTGTGCTGATTCCGAGGTATTATGGCCTCGTCAATTGCTTTTAACTTTTAAGATAAAGTAGAGCATTCTTAAGAGCAAGAAGAAGTGTGGCCATTGCTATGATGCTCATTTCTAATGGCAAGTTTGGAATAGAGGAATAAATAATAGATAGTTATATGTAAAACGATGAAATAAGCTATAAGAATTGCTGACAGTATTGACTTAGGAAATTGCTGACAGTAACTTTCCGTTTGGATTGACTTAGGAAATAGGCTATAAGAATTGCTGACACTGCCTTTCTGTTTGGGTTGCAACTTTTAAAAGTTTTTGTAGAAAATATATTGTAATGATTTAATGTATATAAGGTAAGAAGGTGATTGGGAAATGTATTTATGGAAAACATAAAAATTTTTATGTAGAAGATCACAATCCTATGAATAAGTGGTATAAATTGGTTAGTCAGAAGGAAGTTGTATTTTCATGATAGTATCCTTTGCCTGCAAAGATGATAGTTTTGGACTAATAATCTTTGTAAAGTCTTTCACTTCAATATACTTTTGTTCCATGGAAAAGAAAAAGTAACCTGTGAAGTCAGAATGAACTATTTTCATGATCACTAAGATGAATTGGACTTGGATGAGCTATTGTTTCCAAACTATTTGAATAGCCAAGTATAAGTGACTTTGTTAGAGTTGACATATTTTTGACTTTATTCCTTTTCTCTCTATGGCTTAATTTTCAAGTATCACTGCTTTCTATTCTTTACAGCTTTCTTTATCCTTCAAGTGCCTTTTAGAGATTTGATGTAATTTAATTTCAAATTTAGGAAAATATTATTTGCACCCCATTTTTTGTTAATTGCACTTCCACCATTTGTATTATTATATAATCTAATAAATGAAAATCATATGATAAAAATAATAGTGGGAGTCTAATTAACAAAAATGCTATTGCAAATAACATTTCCCATAAATTTATAGCTGAGAGTTGAAATTGAGCCTGTGGGAACCCTTATTTTCTAATTAACTAGTCATTTTTACCAATGAGCATAGCGAAAGGAAAAGGCAGGAAAGATGAAACTAAAATGTTTTATCAGATTTTTCCATCTTCCCATAACTGCTGCAATTGAAAGAATGAAGGTCCGCCATGCAGTTAAAAGATTGAAGGTTTGCTCTGCTATGATCAAGAAGCACTACAACAAATATGACATTTAACGGCATTTAAAGGTGTCAGTATAAATAATTTAACCTGACAATTTACCTTTCCTCACACCTCGAACGAGTGTTGTTCCTTCCAATGTGGGGATAAGCTCTCGTAGCATTCAAATGTATCAGGAAAACTATGCTGTTGTATATCCCATCTGCCAACAAAAATCCCTTTTCTTGATAATCAAAAGTGTCAGGATAGCTATAGTACAACATTAGGATATCGAATTCTATGCTGATATAGAAGTTTTTTTTTCTTTTTTTTTTTTTTGATATAGAAGCAACCTGCAGGTAGTAGTGCTCCCTGCTATACATTCCGTCAATCAAAAACCCAAAGGACTTGTAAAATTATCCCAAAGAACAGAATGCATATAGTAATCTAAAAGCAAAAGTCAATGCTCAAATATAATTTGTTGAACTAAAAGTCAGTAACAAATACTAACATTGCAAATCCGTAACAAGTACAAACTTGAAAAATTTTCTTGTGCGCAAACTAAAAGATTCTCTTCCCTAAAAAGTAGAAAGAACTTGCAGTAGCTTCCAAACTTTCCAAGCTTCCAGTCCATAGGCAAAACAAATCTTTCCTGAAACATAGTTAGGAACAAGAAAATAAACATAACTTCACAATAAATTTTTAATAAAGTATACATAATACAAAAGCTACCATTACCTTTTATGAAAAAATGCATTAATGTGTGAAAAACATAAGGAACCACTTACAAAAGTTAATCTTCAGTGTAGTTTGTGTGCCTCTCGCATGTCTTAGTCCACTTCTTGAACCCACTGACAGAGCATTGTGCAGTAAAGATTGCTGCTGCTGCTAAGAGAGATGGGGGGAACCTAAGCATTTCATACTCGACAAGGCACAACTCAACAAAAGAAGGACAGAAGCTCCAACTAGTCACCAGGAGATTATTGCCTTAGGCAGATCAAGATAGTGCAAAAACGAGCAGCTAGAACTGCAACAACGAGCAGTATGATATTAAACTTGCCTGCCCTTTGCTGTGTTCTTGAACTTCATATCGTCCCTATTTGAATTCACTTCCAAATCCAATTTGGTACTCTCTCTTGCTTGTGTCACTAGATTTATGTGAAGAGAGCCTCAAAGTTTGTGGAGGTGGACACTTGCTCCACCAGTATTTATAGGGACTATTGCACCAGGTCGTACATCCAAGAAGTCGTGTCGTAGCCTCACAAACTGGAAAATCACATCCCCCCCTCTCTCCTTCGCGAATTTAGGCACGCGAAATTTCGAACCAATCTAGAAAGAAAGAAAGAAAGAACAGAGCCAACTAATGGATGACAAGCAATGGAAGTAGTTGAGGTTGACTCTTAGTGTTTTTTTAATAAAAAGCCAAGTCATTCTTTAATTAGATTGGGGGCCAAATTGGTCCAGGGGTGGTGGCCGTGTTTTGGGACTAATGAGTAATGACTATTTCCACATCTTAGCCACATATCTAACCACCTCTTCTTCATTGCTATAGAGCTTTCCCCATATATGCCGAACCAGAATGGTTGTTGTCCCAACAATTGCACCCTCTGTAAAGGCCATTATGACTACCACACCCAACGCTAAGCGCGCACCTTGTGGATTTCCAGCGCCCAATTCATTTGAAACTCTCGTACTAAAATGATTATAGGGTAAAATCATTTTCGACCAGCTAAATGCATGGATAACAGTAATCAAGAAAAATAGTTCGATCCTTGAGGTATCCGTTAATTAATGTCATTGTTAAAACTTTTTTTTTCTTTTGTCATTGTTAAAGATTAAAAGCATCATAAGAACTTTGATTGGGTTTACTAACCTTATGGCAACACCAAGACCGACAGAGGTCATATAGACCATCCAACATGTATTGAGGCTGTCAGAACAAGAAAAAACAACTGATGTAATCAGAAAAGACTAGTATATAACGTCTTTCAAGTGCGTCTGAAGCTTTATTTCTGTGAGCTAGTATAGCATCTTTCAAGCGCTGTAATGTGGGATATTAAGTTCAGTAATAGAGACAAACCTGATAGATAGGACTGATGTTTCTAGTTTTGGATTGGGCAAAAGACCAGATAATAGAACAACCATCTCAAATGACCAATACTCCAAACTGTGGTTCAAACAGATAATGATAAATTGTCAACTAAAGAAAAATGTTGGGCAATACATGATAGAATCACCAAAAAGAAGGTGAAGAACAAAAAACATGCATCCATTCGTGGAAGGTCCTTTCGGAGATGTATAAAAGATTCAGTTTATGGCCAACAGTTTCTTGGTTGTCTACTTGACATTTTATCGAACAGGTTATGGGCAACAAATTCATAACAAAATAGTCACTTGAATCAAGTAAACAATCAAGAGGAATAAAGCTGAACAACAAGTGCACTCAAATCATAAACTATTACTACATCCATTTCAATCTCAAATAGATGGGACTAATATCAAATGTAATCAATTTAGGACAAACTTTAAGTCTTAACCCTCCCAATTCAACACAATACAATACACAGCTTCAAGAATAAGTAATAATGTCTAATAAAATCTCAGGAAAAAAAGGGAACAACTTGAAGAATGAGTTAAAAGAAAAATAAGTTAAAACGTACAGTAAGTAACATAAAAATGTTTATGGTGCTCTTTCTATTTGGATTTTCTGTGATGTGTTTCAGTGTTCACCATTGCTCGCTATCTCTGCAACAGATTGAGGAACTAGAGAAGGAATTGGCAGAGACCAGAATGAAGTGCACTAACCTCTCTTTACACTTGGAAACTCAGAGAAAGCATAAACTTGTCGAGCAACAGATGGACTGTACTTGATGCAATACTTTTTAGTAGCGGTTCGAGCCTTTGGCATAACAGAGGGAAAATGACATGGGGTCGAAAATGTATTTGGATGGGGGAGGTTATGGGTGGAATCCTCCTGCTATTGCCCTTCCATTTTTCGGCTTCTTTCCCTGCTAGTGTTTCTTGTGAGAGAGATAAGAAGAAGCAAAATTTGACCAAGTGTTTTGGCCGGCAAAATGAAAGTTTCGAGCAAATGAATCTTCCGCCAATTCACTACAATATCGTTTTGTGCCTTTCCTTTTTTTTTTTTTTTGTATATCTCACATTTTTTCAAGTGTCATAATAGATAGTCTAAAGACACATTATTATTCTTATATCAGATAAAATAAAAAAATTAAAGTATATATTATTGAGTTGATAATAAGTGTCATAATAGAAGTACTATAATGATACAAACCAGCAAGTGTCCTTATAAGCATGTCAGGAAAAATCATTTTTGTTGTAGTGAAGAAATATAGGCAAGATAGATTGTCAAGGTGGCCATATAGGCAGGTCTCTGTATAGTTATTTTCCTTTTTTCTTCTTTTCATATCTTAAATATCAAGAGAAAACTATTAATGAAACAACAATTTAATTGCTGCTACTACTGAAGAAAAGGCTTGTGTTTTGGCAGAAAATATTGACCACCGTAAGTAAAATTTTACAATTTTTTGGCATTTTTGGAGAGAGAATGAGAGCATTAACTTGAAGACGTATCCGCATGTGTAGTATTTTAAACCAAATCTATTTCCTATTAATATTGGGATTATTGTTTAGAAAACTTGTGTTGTCTGATTATTAACATGATTTCGTAAGATTAGTCCTAATAGGATTTTGGCAGTGAATGATCTTATATACAAGTCTCTTTTCTACTCCGTTGATATATCAGAAAGTTTCGTATCAATACAATTGCCTCCCGCCTTTGCATCGTTCGTCATTTTTGGCCTTGGAATTTCATTTGTCCTTTTCTTGCTTGAGCCTTCAATCCATCTTTTGTTATAGCAGATAGCATAGTGAATTCATCATACTGAGAGAATTGTTTGATTAAATATTATTTTGGGGCCTACATCTTGACATCCAGAGTTAGATCTATTAGAAAATATGTATGTATCAACTGCATCAATTGCACCAATTAATATTATCTGTGTAGTACCAAAACTTGCAGAGAGAAAAGATTACATCTTTTGGAGGATTAAGATGGAAACCTATCTTGGGAGTATAATTTGTTTCATTTTATTCAGCAACAAATTGCTGCAGATATTGATGGAAGCATCAAGAAACAAGGAAGCATGGCATTGTCTCAAATCCACCATGCTATTGATGCTTTATTTTTGAAAAAATTGCTAGCGGCAAGACTGCAAAATAAGCATGGGATATTTTGGTGAAAACATATAAAGTAGTTGAAGAATCCAAAAAAATATTTGATAAGTGTTTTTTATACATAGATATTGGTAGCATTTTGTATGTGTTTTTTTATTTAAATTAGAATGATTTAAGATATAAATTGCTCCTTAAACTTCTAAACTTTGCAAGTTTCATTTGAGCAACTTAATGTGCAAAAAGTGGTTATATTTGCAGGAATTGAGGAGAGCTTTCAATGTTGGAGTGAATTGGATTCGATTCGAAATCATTAGCTCTTGATTCAATGGTAATTCGGAAAATAGAAGATCAAACATAAGTATTAATGGTGCATTGCATGAACAAACATCTAGACATGATGATTAGTGAGGAATTGGAGCAGAAAACAATCGAGAAAGCAATCCAGAAGGAAATACGTGACCTCAATACACGGCCTTAGGTTGCGTATTGGGTGGTCGCGTATTCTCCCCTGTTTTTTCGCAACTTATTTTGCAACTTACTTTATTTTTACACTGCTTTTCAGCTCAATTTTACCTCAAAATTGCAGCTGCACATGTCAAGATTCCTTAGGAAAAAAAAAAGGAGATTTATGTCTTATCATTAACCACTTTTTGACTCTCTTAACAATATTTATGCAAGAATCATTGAGGAGAGACTGGATTATTAGTAGTTTTTAGTAGACATTAGTATTAGTTCTTTTCTCATTCTCTCTAGTTAGAAACTTGTAAGAAAACCTTGGAGAACTCATTGTATCATTCATTTTGTTGAAGAAATAGAAGATTTGGGAGCTTGTTCATCACTTTGGCTAAACTTTCTCTATCTTTCTCTTTACTTGCGATTCACTATATTTGTATGCAATGAAGTTATGCTTCTTATTGTCTTATTTCACATAAGTAGCTAAGTTTCTAGATCTAGGGGTAGATGAAATTTATGGCTACTTGATATGTAGTGAATAAGATTTTCACTTATTATATTTTGTATTAACTTGTCCATTTATGTATACTTATCACTTGTTGTTACTTGATCACCAATAGCAAGTTTTAGTTGCTATTATTCAATAAAAATTTGTAATAATGATGGAACAACATAAACAGAGTTTAAGGAGTAGACTTATGAGAATAGAGATACACTTAAGTGGATTATTTTAGCATTTCATAAAGAATAAAGAGTAGATCTAGTTATTCACCATGAGAATAGAGAAAATTAGACTATTCTAAACCTCTACATCATGAGAGTGAATTTTGGTAAATTTGGAAATGAATCTCTAGTTAAACAAGGGTAGTAATAAGGGGTAATTCACTTATATCTTTGGTGTCATAAGTGGATTCTATCTCTCTAGACTCAAATATTTAGTGAAATCTCTTCATTGTTATCTTGCAAGTTATTTAGTTAAAATAGTTAAATAGTAAGTGTTGTTCTTTCTATTGCCTTCATTTAATAGATAGTCTAAATAATAGAGTAAATAAATGACCTAGTACTTGTAATAGTTGCTTCTCATGGGATCGACCCAATATATACCCTAAACTACTATTTGACATGTATACTTGCAGTCAAACTAGTATATTTTGGATTAAACTTATACTTATATAAAAAATTCATCAAGTTTTTAGCGCCATTATCGAGGAGCGGCAGTATTATAGCCTAACAAACTTTATTAATTTAGACATTTTCTTTATTAGTTAGTTGAATTTTGTCAATAGATAAGTTAGAATTTTTATTTGTTTTTGTGATATAATTACTACATTATCTCTTTCTTTTTGCTTGTAGTGTATGCACCAGGCATTACGTATGGTCACACCTTTTGATCTGAAAATTGAAAGGATACTACGTAAACAAAGAAGACGTACACCATAACAAGAGTAAAAAGAGATTCAACATATAAAGGGAATTGCTATTGAGTTGGCTTTTGAAAAAGAAATGGCGAAAAATGAAGCAAATAAGTAAGCTCTTAGAGATTTTGCTCTACCAGGGACACAAGAATCACAAGCAAATATAGCACGGCTAACTGTAAATGCTAACAATTTTGAGATTAAACAATCACTTATTCAAATGGTTCAACAATCTGAATTTGGAAGTGATGCCGTAGAGGATTCAAATGCACATTAAGCTACATTTTTGGAGATATGTGATACAATTAAGTGAATGGAGTTAGTGAAGATGCTATAAGACTAAGGTTATTTCCATTTTGTTTAAGAGATAAAGTTAAAATTTGACTACACTCTCATGCTCACAATACTTTCACTAATTTGGCTGATTTATCTAGAGCGGCTGATTTATCTGTAGCATTCTTGAATAAATACTATCTACCGGGTAAACCGGTTAAGTTTAGAATGGACATTACTAATTTTAGTCAACGAAATGGTGAATCATTATATGAAGCGTGGGAAAGATTTAGGAATTTGTTACGAAAATGTCCACACTATGGACTTCCCGATTGCCTCATCGTATAAACTGTCTATAATGGTTTATCTGTCTCTACTAGAACTATTATTGATGTAGCCGCAGGTGGAACTTTAATGGGTAAATCACCTTAAAAGGCTCAAAACTTGATAGAAGACATGGCAGAAAACAACTACCAATGGACAAATGAGTGAGGTAATTCTAGGCGCCAAACAGGTATGATTGAAATGGACACCCTAAACATGTTGAGTGTCCAAATGAATAATATTGTAAAATTGCTAAGTAGAGTCGGAGTTAGTTCGAGTTCTTCATCTAGTGTATATGTTGCATGTTGCTTTACATGTGGGGGTGATCATGATACTAATGAGTGTGTTGAATTTGAATAGGTTCAATTTGTCAATAATTATAATCGAAAATCATCCAAATTTTGGATGGAAGGATCAAAACAATCCTCAAAGATCGACAAATCCGCTGGGATTCCACCCAAGGTAACCACAGTCGAACACTAAACCAGGTTGGGCGATTGTAGTGAAAATGTTGGCTAAGGGCACCTCGGAGAGATTTGAACGAATAAAGGGGAGAATAGATCAATTAACTGGGATGTATAGAAATATAGAGCTCCAAATAGGTCAAATTGCTAATTCAATCAACAATAGAAATCAAGAAAAATTACTGAGTAAAATGGAGGTGAATCCGAGGGAACGTGTTAAAGCCATTACTCTTCATAGTGGTAAACAATTAGAAGACTCTCCTGTAATTGAAGTAAGAGAAAAAATGAGAGCAAGGAAAAAGAAAAGGAGAAGACGAACCAAGAATCAAGTGTGGGGGAAGATAATAGGGAAAGACAGTCAAGACTAACCCTCATCTTCCACTACCATTCTAATACCTTCGGCGGTTCCATTCCCTCAAAAGTTTAAGAAAAATAAGCTTGATAAAGATTTTAAAAATTTTAAATAATTGCATATTAATATCCTTTTTGTCGATACTATTTTGCCGATTCCTTTATATGCGATGTTTCTGAAAGAGATCATGACTAGAAAGAGGAAGTCGGAAGACTGCGAAACATTAATAGAGGAGTGAAATGATATTATACAAAACAAGCTGTTGTCAAAATTAAAGGATCCAAGGAGTTTTTCTATACTATGCACTATCTATAATGTTGAATTTTCAAAACATTATGTGACCTTGGTGCTAGTGTAACATTAATTCCTTTAATGGTGGCAAGATAATTAGGTTTGCATGAATTAAATGCACCAATATTACTTTGCAGTTAGCTGATAGGTCGATTAGATATCTATTGGGAGTATTGGAGAATGTATTGATTAAAGTGCAAAATTTTATTATTTTCGTGAATTTTGTGGTATTAGATATGGAAGAAAATACGTCTATGCCAATTATTTTTGGTAGACCCATTTTAACAACTGCAGGTACTATTATTGATGTTAAAAGT